CTTTTGCTTTTTAATTTCGAACGGTAAGTTTTAATATACCCATTTGGGGCAAGTTAAACATTTTCTTCTACTCTTTCATATTATTGATCAGGTAATAGTAATAATGCCTTTCCATTTTACTCTTGTTTTCTCTAATACTTTCACTTTGATGCCTATGATAATTGCTAATTCTTTGACTAGTTCATTCCATAAATTCGAGGTCCCGTTCTATATTTGTTGTCAGGAATTTCAGTTAGGTTAGCTTATGGTAGTCTGGCTAATGCATTAGGTATAGTTTCTTCATTGTAAATAATAGTTTTAAATTAATTAAAACATTGAGTGTTGAAATTTTTAACTTATAGTGAGTGGCCGTATATCAAATGGTGGTACAGTACGACCACTAGTTGCACTTCTTGATGGTCGAGATTGTACTGTTGAGATGCCAATTCTGAAGGATATCGCCACAGTGGCATTCTGTGACGCTCAATCTACTCAAGAAATCCATGAAAAGGTTTAGGTTCTTTGATTTTCAAATATATATCACATTTTCCTTTTTCTTATGCATTATCTACAAATTATTAGCATTTCAACTGCTTACTATAGGCATAATTTTATATCGTACTGTAGGTGCTTAACGAAGCGGTTGCTGCTCTGATGTGGCATTCGATTACGTTGGAACGCGAAGATTTGGAAAAATTTAAAGCATTGCGAGTAGTTGTACGGATTGGAACGGGTACTGATAATATTGATGTAAAAGCAGCAACAGATCTTGGTAAATTCTCATTCGTTGCTAGTAATGAACTTTGTAGAATTAATTTCAATCATTTGCTTATTGGAAAGCACTACTGATCATTTACGGCAACTTAACGTTCTATACATTCTTTGTATGATGTATGGTAGCATCCTTCATATTTCATCTTAGTTTTTTAATACCAACCTTCATAATTTATTAATATCGTTGACCCTTTCTAACTTAACGATTAATAAATATCATTCGGAATACTTTTAATTGAAATAAATACAGCTCTATTCGTAAGAATGATAGTTATGCTTGTTTTTTTTTTTAATTTATAGCGAGACTGATAAGTAGGTCATGAATTATCAACTCTTCTACTCAGGGAAGATTTTTTGGCCTGAAATATATGAGAAGTTTTCTTAAGGAATTGCTGTTTGTAACACTCCTGGTGATTGTGTTGAAGAAGTTGCGGATACCACAATTTCACTAATTCTGAATATGTATAGGAAAACATTTTGGTTGGCAAAAGCGATTTCTGATGGAAAGAAGGTTGTTTATCTCAATACATATATAAACCTTTGTTTCCTACTTGATTTTTAAGTCGTAAAATTTATTAAATAAGTTTTGTTATCGTTTTTTGATTATATGATTTAAGAGAATAGTAGGTTCTGTTATTTACACTTTAAGTGCTATCATGGTCAACTTTAAACTCAGTCAGTATGGTTTATTTCTGGAAGAACTATATGTGTCTGCTTTGAAGAGGGAAGTAGAGAGTAGAGAAAAAATCTGAAGTTATATTTGATTCATACAATTTCGGCTTCCGATTTCAATAATTTTTAGGTTAATGGTGTTGAACAGCTTCGGGAGTTGGCTAGTGGTAGTACTCGTATTCGAGATGATACTTTAGGCATCATTGGCCTTGGTCGCGTTGGTATTGCAGTAGCATTACGTGCTAAAGCATTTGGTTTTAAAATATGTTTTTTTGACCCTCATTTACCGGAAGGCATTGACAGGTCATTGGGCATTGAACGCTGTTATAATCTTGACGACATATTATTCAAGTCTGACTGTCTCACTCTACATTGTCCGCTGACGGATGAAACAAGACACATGATCAACGATGTAAATTTTTCCATTAATGTTCAAACTTAAATTTTGTAGACTTCCTCTAGTTTAAAATAATGCTTGGTATGTGAAATTGCTTTTTCGCATATGAAGTTGGATTATACTCACTTCTAGATTGTTTTTAATCTATCCAAGTTGCTCTTTTAGAAATATATAATGCTTAGAGAGAAGTCGGGAACAGATTGCGATTAATTTTTGGTGCAATACATCTTCAACCTGCTCTCAAAACTTTGAAAATAAAACATACCACTCAGAATTAGGCATATAAAAACATTCTGTAGTAGTCAGAATTTGAATTTTACTTTCTAACAGTTTGTTTGTGATCGACAAGAAGATGCATAAGACATACTTTTTTTTAATTCAACAAAATATCCTGTTTTTTGCCACGTTGCCTCATTGCTATTCTGAGAAGCAAATAAGGTATTCTTAATTTTACTATAGATTAAAATTATGTTTTATGGGGTTATTCGTTGTTTCCGTTGACGATGCGACGTAACTATTTTCATTCTTGTACATCAATGTTTTTTGGAACGACTAATGTTATAAGTAATTTTACATTTCCTAATCATTTTATGATTTTGTTACAGGTGACTATCAAACAAATGCGATCCGGTGCATTCATTGTGAATACTTCAAGAGGTGGACTTATACAGGAAAGTGCTTTAAGTGAAGCTTTGAAATCAGGTCACATAAAAGCCGCAGCACTTGATGTACATGAACATGAGCCTTTCGATCCACTTTCTATGGGTAGCGTTACATTTCCTTTCGAGAAGTTATTTTATTTGTGATATGCTCTTGGTGATTATATATTTTTCCTTTACAAAATCATCAAGCTGTTATTTGAATTATAAAGTTATAGGACTTTTGGCCGCTTCGCCAAATGTCATCCATACTCCACATTGCTCCTGGTATTCGGATACTTCTTGCAAGGAGTTACGTATATCAGCTGCTCGAGAGGTGCGGCGAGCTATCGTTGGTAGGTGTCCACATGATCTCAGTAACTGTGTGAATAAAGAAGCCATTCTTGCTGGACAAGCTCGAAGGCCGACGTCATCTGCATCTGCAACTCCGAGTGTATCAGGCTCATTCAATCCGTTGATGTCATCCTTCGGAACATCGATCGCAGATGGTGCGTTTTTTATATTTTGAAAAAGATTTTTTTTCTTGAGTAGTGGAAGTATGTTCCATTGCTTTCCAGGTTTCAATGGCTTACCTGTTGGTGGGAATTTGTCATCCTTCCCATATTCTAATCCTTTGCTGGCCATGGGAAATCCATTACTGAATCCGTTAATGATCAATCCTAGCACAGCTGCATTGGCAAGCTTTGCAAATGCCGCAGCTGGCACTCCTCATACTGGACCAGCTTCTGCTCTTTCATCTCTCTCTGGTACATCGTCCACTATGACCACAAATACTGTGCCTGTTGCCAGGCAATCACCTGCTGTTCAGGTTTCTCATTCTCCAAAAGTTAGTCATTTATGATGTTTGATGTTGTCATATCCTTGATGACGCTTTTGCTCATAAACTTCTGCACAGTTTTATTCCAGACCAATAGTAACAGTCGTGCTACAGTTTCACCGGCTGTACGATCGGCTTCTTCACCTGATGGTCCATCTGAAGTGAAAAATGGAACTCCACCTACACCACAAATCATTGCGCAGCCTCATTTGTGCTCGACCTCATCGGTAGCCCCATCTACCTGCAAAAGCCCAGGACCCACAAATTTACCAAAGGTATTTTCATATGATCGAATTATTAAATAGTCGTTATTTACTTCATTTTCCAAATAACTTGGACCACAGATACTCTTAATGGTAGCCTTGAATTATTATTGCTCTAATTATTGCTTTCAAAAATGGGCTATATTGTGAATTAATAGAGTTTTAAACATCTTTAACGGAAATACTATTGTTTTTTGTCGCACATTTTAAGGTGCCAGCTATATCAATTGATTCACTGGCATCAGTTGCTTCGGAAGAATCTACTGCTACTGCTGTTGAGGCTGAATGAGTCTAACTTCGTTGTTTTCGTAAACTTTCACTTCATCTAGGTTTATTGAATTCAGTGACACTATATCAAATATTTTAAATTTTTACATTTGCAACTTGTGAATGTGAAATCAGCTATTTTATTACTAGTGATGGAGTTAACTCAGATCTAAATTGTGGCACATTTTTCTTAGTTGAGATTTATTTCTAAAACTTGAGGCATTTGGATAGACCTCATAATATTACTGTTAATCCCTGACGTACGACTATTTATATTTTGATTTAATTGAATTTATTTATTGGAATGAGTAGACTCTTTTTAGTGACTAACGTTATTTTTGTTAGAAATTAGTCATTTGCAACAGAAATTCAGTTCTTTTCGAAATTTTTAAAACATTCAATTTGACACTGCTTTGAAAGCAGTATGATGACTTTCAACGATAGGTAAATAAAGTTACCTTGTTTTATAGAAATGTTAGAATTATTGGTTGTTGGGTTGAGTTATATGTAGATGATTGCGGGTAACCGGTTGTGTATTGTACTGTAATTAAGTATGAGTGGTTGAAGATAATATTCTAATGCCTCATCTTTTTATTCCACAGAAAAGTTTCTTTTCCACTTGTTTATAATTAGAACATGTGTAGGTTGTATATATTATACATGGCTTTTATTCTAAATTCTCTTTTTGCTTCAAATGAAGTTTGTTCTTATTGATATTTACGGTGAATCTGCATTTGTGGTTCTTTTTACCACTCGGAATTATAATTTATGTTGTCGCATTCTCCTGTTTAACTGAATGTTATCTCACGTGTTTAGTCTAGATTTTGGTCAAATTTGTCGTCTTAATTTTTATTATGTTTATTTATCACCAGCTACTTTCAGTACTGTATTTCAGGATTGAATTTGGCGATAATTTAGCTAACCATGTCAGTTGTGTTTTATGACTGTTGGAAACGGAAAGAAGGCATTTTGCTTTAGTATGATAGATCAGTCTGTAAATTTCCTTTAGTTGATAGATAAAAGTTGTTTCGATTTCTGGAGTATCAATATTCCCAACCTCCATTTGCATCATTCAGCGGGTGTGATTTGTTCCCTAAGTTTGTCTTGAGTTTTTTGCTCTGAATGTTGATTGATTTTTTTTGTATATTACTATTTATATTTTGTCCACGTATTACAGGAAAGTACTTCTTTGGTGATTACTCTAATGTTTGGATGTTAGGATTACAATGCCCTTACGATTATCTTTATTTTTGTATTATTTTGATTGGCATTACGTTCGTTTGTAAGGCAAGAATTTGTTAGTTAAGGGATGCTTGCATTCCTGTTTACGTGGTGACATTAAGTGATAAAACAATTTTTGCACCCATTGAGTTTACAATATCTTTCATTTCGTCATGTATCTGATTTTGATTCATTTGTGATTAAATTTGTTTACACACTTGCAGAATCATGGTTAAAATGATTGTAGTTCATTTCAAGATCTTTAGGATCGTTGGGGTCATTCTTTGAAGTTTTACCTGAGTTTGCGGTTGTTGCTCCATTACGTCATAAAATTTGACAATCATGTGGTCTGAAAACAGCAGAGTCTCATTAGAATACGAAAGTCGTAGGTGGTATTATTTGGTAATTGGACTGCTGTAAAATTGTGGTGATGATCTGGTTCCATAATATAGCATTATAATGGTTTCGGGATGGATTATTCTAATTTTAGAGATATGAAATTATCTTGCTTGAACAGTCGAGACTTCACTGAAATTAAATGTTTCAAACTTGTGTGAATGCTTAATTTTGAAAGATTGGGACGTCAACATAAATTTAGTGCATTCTACATTTGCACTCAAGCATGTTGCGTGGAGGTCAGTGTTGCGACATGTTTACCTCAGCATAATGGCCTGTTCTAGACATAGAGTTGGTAGTGTTATCAATTCAACTGTGCATTTAAATGTGTACAATTTTCCAACGTTCAAAAAATCTCAAGTGCTCAAATTAACGTGAGGATTGTACAATAATTGATCGGGACTCTCATTTTATTGATTGCTATTCTGCCATTTATTATTTAATATTTAAGTTAAGCGTGCTATGACTTAGTGCAGTTAACATGGGTATGATATGCTGCATTTTTAGCTATGTTACTTGGTTATGAGGATTCAACTTTTTCCTACGAATTTGCTGTAACAAGAAAGTAACGGCACGATAGGCTTATTGATTGATATATTTTTGTAGGGGCGATGGTGTTATCAGTGTAGTGTGGAATGTAACGCATGTGATTTTAGTATTGTATTGACATGTGTTCATATCTTCTGATGAGTTCATTGTTTTCAAGTGTAAATGTTTATTAAAATGGTTTCAGTTTAGGTGTGAAAAGGGCTTTGCTTCTCATGTATTGTATGTTGGCATTCACGAAAAAAAAAGAATGTGAATTTCTGCACCTCTCACTTGTACTGAATTATTCATATATGATTGCGACAAAAGTGTCGTCAGTAATATATCAGTGATTATACTGATCATTAATGAATTTTGTTTCTTCATGAATGGAAATTGTAGCATGCATTTGAAGTGGCTTAAAAAATATTTAGTGTCAGAAGTAATTTGAAAAAATTCTTATGGAAACGTGAATAGCAGTTCTCCAAATGTATTGCCCAGGTAATGATGAATCAGTATTTACATATTACATAGTTGCAAAACTCATCCGTTACTCTTATTTCAGTAATGTTGATTTAGGCTTTATTTGCTGTTTTTTACAAACATTACGATCACTTTTATCTGCTTTAGGTTACTTCATACTTGGCACTTTTCAACAATTACTAGTTTCTCATAGGGAAGCATGATAATACTAGGAACTGATTTTTTTCGTAAGCATAGCAAAGCGAGATATAATCATTTACAATTGAGCTAGCTAATGTGTAATAATATTAGGATAAAGATTCACAGTATGCTAAGTTTCTGCAGGAACTTCACGAATAATTACTTTATTGAATGAATGAAAGGAGCTAAAATTTAAAATTAAAGTTTGGTCTTTTTTTTAAGTTTCTATTTTTTAAGATAATACTACCTTTCAAAAATGAAGTATTTATTTACTCGCTAATTTTGCATAATATTTTTTGTTACAATAGCATAACTTCCTGTAGCCAATGTACCTCTCATGATTATACATTCTAGTTTTCAATATTTGTTTAACTTTAATGTTTTCACATATCCTTTTCGCTCTCTCTCTATCCTATGCTGGAGAACTTCCACTTCACTTGAATTGCTCATAACAATCCTACATTTATAAATGCATTTTATTGTGAGTCTATTTTTTTAACCAATTCTTTAATCACTACAGACTTCAGTAATTTTAAATTTCTGCCAAAGATGTTAATTATTAAATTACAATTATGATAATGAAAAGTGTTATCACTAAGTTTTTCGTCATTATTTAGTATAATAATTTTCTTGAACAGCAATTAACTAAGATTCAATTATTATTTTTCCAGTACACTCAACTGAGTTTTCATTTTCATTACATCGTTCATGGCTCAAGCACCTCCTTCACCGTGGTCAAGATGGGATGCTCCTGGTTAGTTTTAGGATGCCTTTTAATAAATATAATTATTCCGATGTTCATTAAGCAATCATATTATCTCTTATTTTGTTACTGTTTTCCTATCATCGTGCGAAGCGACGATATAAAAATAATATTACTTATTTCCAGTGGATCAAAAAAGTGCAGACAAATGATTTTTTTAGCCTTGATTTGTTAATAAATAAAGCTATTATTTCTCATGCAAGTGATTTCCTATCATTTTTTAGCCTTACGAACTAGTATAGAATATATAAATCATAACAGTAGTAATGAAAACAATTTTAGGATATCAATATGTGTCTAATCAAACTGAAGCTCCATATGCTATACATCATGATACTGGTTTCGAAGATCCTTCTTCACAAACTTCCAGTGCAGTGCTGCCGAGATTAGGAGCTAGTAGGCTTATAGAACAGAGGAGATTCCGTAAGTTAACTCGAGTTTCATTTAATTTATGTTAATTTTCTTTTACAAATACGTTTCGTTAATTCTTCTTGCCTGACCAATTATGTACTCCTTTTTCAGCAGATGATGAGGACTTTGTTGAATGCGTATATGGAGTAGAAAAGTCAGTAGTTCGTTACATAGAACGGTGCTTAGCCAAAGATGGGTGTTGTGAAACTACGTGTTGTAAAAATCGTTGGTTAGCATTTTTTTTTACTTTGATCACATCTACTGTTTAGCAGGTAGTAGTAAAATTTTTCTTCCCTAGTTAGGGTGTGTGTATCTCATTTAAGCATCAAATAATTTGAAATGTTTATTAGTTTATTCCAAGTTTTGCATTTCATATTATAGGGAAGAAGGATATAATTGGGCAGTTGCGCTGCTCATTATATTTTGTGTACTCGTAATTCTTGCACTGTTTATTACATTGTTTTGCTGGCTGTATAATCGAGCTAAAGATAAGCATCAGAAACGTCTGATCAATGAATCAATGGGAGGATTAAGTCCAGCCATTTCAAAGGTTTTGTTAGAACAATTTATTTATAACGTTGTTAAAAAAGCTAAAACAAACTGCACTTTGCAATTTAATTAAAAAAAACATCGTAACTTGAAATTTGAGTAGAAAACAAAATCTTGCTTTATTAAATTTTGTATATCTGTTTAGGCTAATATGGCTGCAGTCGAAAATCGAAATGAAAGCGGCTACTATCCATTTGTTGGTGGGCCTTATCAGTATTGATATTTAAGAACATGAAATCTCACTCAAAAATAAGAATGAAACTTGGATTTAGTGATGATATTTGCATCAGAGATGTGATTTTTCAATGTTTTGTTTGATTTATTTCCAGTTTTATTTTGGCCAAATATCTTCAAGTATTTGATAAGTGTTAATAAAAGTTCATTATTCCCAATCGTTTTTATAGTATCGCAGGTTTTCTTAACTAAATCATCAATACTGGCAAAGAAGTAAATTTACCATTTCATGACAGTAATATATATATATAACTTATTATTCAATTACATTTTTTTGACTTGGATTGGTATTCTAAGAAAATTTTCTGTTGAAAGAGTAGATAGACTAAAGAATCAGCTACTTTCGAAGAACAAATTGTTACTACATGTTATTGAAGAATTCAATAAAATGGGCTTCCGTAGTTTCTTATTGCATCTTTACGTAGTCTTTCAGGTCATTACGCAAGCCCAGATTATCCTATATTATACTTTGGAATTTTGTTGTATTTATTTGATATTTTTTTTGCATTGGTGCTGTGTTGTTGCTAAATTTTGCTGGTTGATAGTGGCCACGTGAGTATAGTATTAGACTAAATTATGTCAGCCAAGTTGGGATCTGTAAGGTGCAATTTTGTGATGTTTTCCTGATGACTGTGCAATCCTCAAAGAAGAAGATAAAGAAATAGCAAATCGTAGTTTTGTACACTTAATCGTTGCAGTAACACTGTTGTTAGTTTCAGCGTCTGACCAACTACAAAAAAAAAATGGAATTTGAACGATTGTACAAGTCTATCCAAATTGATGACGAGCAATATAAGTACTACGACATGAACGCACTCAATGATTCACGTTACGGTAAATTATGAATGTAACTAACTACTACAAAAACATTATATGTCCAATGTTGAGTAGAATAGCTCATACGAATTGTTTCTGAGAGGATTTGGTTGCATATTACTTAAGTTGTAATATTTTAGCTTACTGGAATAATGAAGCCTCTAAATATTTACAGATGAATTACCTATTTGTATTCGTTATTTGCTAGAAGCAGCCATAAGGAATTGTGACGGGTTCCTGATTTGCAAAAGCGATGTTGAGGCGATTTTAGACTGGAAGAATAGTGTATTGAAAGGAGTTGAGATACCGTTCATACCTTCTCGTGTATTACTTCAAGACTTCACGTAAAGTTTTAATGATTTGTGCATATTTGTGAGGATTTGATTTTTAGTTTTTTTTCAGTAATAAATTTGCTAGATTGTAGAGGTGTTCCAGCCATTGTTGATCTTGCTTCAATTCGAGATGCCGTACAGAAACTGGGGTTCAGCCCAGATTTGGTCAATCCTGTTTGTCAAGCCGATCTAGTCATTGACCACTCTGTGCAAGTTGATCATTACGGAAAGTAAAGATTTGTATATCTTGTCCTCATTTTTTTGTGAAACAGTCGTGCAGCTTGTTTACTCATTGGATTTTGCCAGTAGCAAATCAGAATAAATTGTTGAGTAATGTTCTTAAATGTCTTCAACTTTACAATCATTGCAGCAGTGACGCATTGGCAAAAAATCAAGCACTAGAATTCCAAAGAAATGAAGAACGCTTCAAGTTTCTAAAAGTTAGTCTAGTAATTGATTCTTGCATGAACTTATACTCTCCTCATCTCAAAAAATGCAGTTTTTTCAAGGGAATTTAAAGTGATCGGATTAAACTCAATCGTGTTTGTTTGAACCATATAGAAACAAGGAATATTTTTTGGATAGAGTAATTATGTTGAAATTGCAGTGGGGTGCGCATGCATTCAAAAATTTGTCAATAATACCACCTGGCTCTGGAATTGTACATCAGGTCAATTTGGAATATATTGCAAAAATTGTTGCAGTTAGTAATCACCAATGTTTGTATCCAGATTCCGTTGTTGGGACTGATTCTCACACTACAATGAATAATGGCTCAGGTGTTCTAGCTTGGGGTGTCGGCGGTATGATTTCTATAATATATTTAGTTTGAATCACGTACTTCATTTCATTAAGATTTTCAAGGAATAGAAGCAGAAGCTGTTATGCTTGGTCAGCCAATACATATGCTCTTGCCTGAAGTTATTGGATACCGATTATATGGAACCCTACCGACCCATTGCACGAGTACAGATTTGGTTCTGACGATTACCAATGTATTTCTTAAATTTCTTCCTGATCGTAAACGTAATAACTGTGCTTTAATGTCTAATTGTTTTATTATGTGAAAAAAGACACACTTTAATTAGGTAGAACTTCTCTAATTATTTTATTTTATAATTTCGTGTAGAATCTAAAAAGACTTTCTAACTGCTTAATTTACATAACCTCTTCTAAATCTTTGAATAAGCATGATTAGAAAAGCTGGTAATTAGTTATCAGTACTGAAAACTGCACTATAAGTTTTTTGTGAATACTATTTCAATAACATTTATGACTTCTTGAGTTTGAAGATTTGGAAGAAGTTAAATAAATATCGGTGCTAATTCATTTTAGAAGCTCCGGTCTTATGGTGTCGTGGGGAAATTTATAGAATTTTTCGGATCTGGAGTAGCAAATTTGAGTATCGCAGATAGAGCAACAGTTGCAAATATGTGTCCTGAATATGGTGCTACTGTCGCATTCTTTCCAGTTGACGATTATACGCTGCGGTAAAATTTACATGATAAATGAAATTCAATCTAATACTTTAATATGACCTCCTTTGTGCAGGTATTTGCGATGTACTGGACGGGAAGAACATGCAGTTAAACGAGCAGAAACTTATCTTAAACAAAATAAAATGTTCTTCAGCACCAAACTTCATGCACATTATACAAAGGTTAGCAATATGAATTTTATTTTAAAGAAGAAACTTTATTTTAGAACTAATTGTATCTGTGTAACTGAAATGAATTTTTTAACTGTGAGTAATCATTAAAGTTGGATGTTAGGTACTAGAACTGGATCTTAGTTCGATCGTTCCATGCATTAGTGGACCGAAAAGGCCACAAGATACAGTCGCTATTACAGAATTGTTTTCCGATTTTAAGAAGTGTCTTACACAAAAAGTGTCTTTTAAGGTATGCTTTTATTGCATCACAAATTTGGTTACTGTTAGTCTTCTCAAGGCAGTGTTTTACCACATAAAAAGTCCTTAATATCTTCATATTGTATTTCATTTCACTTTTTATCTAGGGTTTTGGTATCAAGCCTGAACAGATCAGCAAAACAGTACAGGTTGATATCAGTGGCCAGAAAGCTTTTGTAAGGCATGGTTCTGTTGTTATCAGTGCTATTACTTCGTGCACAAATACTTCTAATCCGTCGGTTATGTTAGGTAACTAAACTCAAGTTAAATGGCTTGGAGCCAATTTTTTTAGTTTAAAATTTTCAAAGTTATAGCTGCTGGTCTCTTGGCTAAGAAGGCAGTAGAGGCAGGTCTGCAGATGCCTATACATGTAAAGACAAGCTTGTCTCCTGGATCTGGTGTTGTCACGAAGTATTTGGAATGTAGTGGATTGCTTCCATATTTACAGCAACTGGGATATCATGTTACTGGTTATGGATGTATGACTTGTATTGGTAACAGTGGTGCTTTGCATCCAGAGATTACAAAGGCGATTGAATTGGTATATTTGATTAATTTCTAGCTTAATAAAGGACGAAATTTTTTTGTATATGCTAAAAATTTGAGATTTCAGAATGACTTGGTTGTTGCTAGTGTTTTGTCCGGTAATCGAAATTTTGAGGGACGCATTCATTCTCACGTACGAGCAAATTATCTCGCGTCACCTCCGCTTGTCATTGTATATGGATTGGCGGGACGAATTGATTTCGATATTGAACATGATCCGATTGGTATGCAAAATTTTTGTATTGAAAAGTTTTTGCTATCTTATAGAGTTTCAGAATCAAGATTTCAGGTAAAGGGAACAATGGAAAAGACATATATTTCAAAGATATATGGCCTGCTAGAGCAGATGTTGCAAAACTGGAAGAAGCTTTCGTGCTTCCACAATTTTTCAAAGAAGTTTATGCAAATATAAAGCAAGGAAATGAACAGTGGCAAAAGTTAGCATCTCCTTTTACAACTCTATATCCGTGGGATGATCATTCAACATACATAAAGAAAGCGCCTTTTTTTGAAAATATGGTAGTTTTCTTTTATTTACTCTATAAACAAGTTTTTTAGGCCATTTTTCAGCCATCAGTGAATACATTGAATGGATTTAGTATAAACTTTTATTACTATCTCGAAATGGTTTTATAATTCTTGATCCTCTTTCTGATCTTCAAAATTTATCAAAGTGTCTGGAAGCCTTAGGAATCTAATTATGAAATGATTGCTCACTTCATTTTAGACATTGAAAATACCGGCTGAGGAAAAAATTAGAAATGCTTATGTATTATTATACCTTGGTGATTCAGTAACGACGGATCACATATCTCCTGCTGGGTGCATTTCTCGTACTAGTCCAGCTGCTAGATATTTGATATCACGAAAGTAAATTGATTGATTTACTATTATTTTAAATTTGGAGAATATTTGTTATTGCTAGAGAAAAGGGTGTAGTAATTGAGTGAATTCATGAAAACTTTGTAGCATTTCTGTTAATGATTTTAATACTTACGGTGCACGTCGCGGTAATGATGAAGTGATGACACGTGGTACGTTTGCAAATATACGTCTGGTAAATAAACTTGCATCAACAACAGGCCCTAAAACACTGCATATACCCTCAGGTACCTTCTGTCATTTAATGTTACAGATCAGACATAATATTCTACTTTCTTATTCATTGCTTAATCTCTCTACATAGGCTCCGAATTAGATATATTTGACGCGGCAGAGTATTATCAACGTGAAGGTCATCAAATTATTGTGCTGGCTGGTAAGGAATACGGTTCCGGATCCTCTCGTGATTGGGCCGCAAAAGGTCCACATTTACTGGGTGTGAAAGCCATCATTGCAGAATCTTACGAAAGAATACATCGGTTAGTCTGTGAGACGGCTTTTATCACGAGTTGAAAATTTTTGTTTGCGGTTTTTATTCAGTAGCAGAGTAAAACTGATCTGTGACTCTCACACCACATATTGTGAAAGAAAAATTAATTAAATTAAAAAATTAATTAGTGGATTATCGCGATATGGCATCTTAAGCGTTTTGACCGACTAAATGTATGCAATCTTTCCTTTGTCGTGCGCATTAATAGATCAAGAATTCAATGTTAAAGGTTTGGATTGCAAGTATTCAATCTTCATTCAACCGAAGTTATGCATACTAATTTGAAGGACTGTTAGGATAAAGTTTTATTGGTATCTGAAAATGAGAATGCAAATAGGTTCGGTAATTCATCTTGTCACACCCGAAAGTGTAAAAGTGGACTTCACAATTCAGTATTTGAGGACGGATCTCTCATACAAAAGTTATATTAATGAAGCAACTGTCGGGAAAATTACTGTTCGCTAATAATGAAAAAAATTAAGCATATCATTTGTTACTAGTAGTTTCCTTTGTAGGGTACTGATATTTTACGCATTGGATAGAATGATAATATTACAAAAATATCATTCTATCCTTAACGGATTGCGTAGATTTTTGGTATTTCTAGTGTAGTTTTGAAAGTTGAAATTTGCTACTTATATTGTATATACAAATATAGAAGTTTTCGAAGCTTTGAGATTCAGATATGAATAGACAGCGGATCTATTTCAACTCATAGACATTTACCATTTCTATCCGTAACTAAAAAACAGAATGTGCATGATATTAATAAGATTCAAGTGATGAAAAATGGCCACACATATTTATTCAATAAATTCAAAAACAGTCCTTTCGAAATGATTTTGACATTTAGCTTAGCGAAAGTGGTCTGAAATTAAATTTGACGTAGAAAATCGAAGGAAATATTGCAACAAAAACTGAAATTCTGAAAATGGCAGTATCAATTATAACCGCTCGTGGAAAAATAGTTATGACTGGTATTTCACTACTTGATCTATCTTCAATTTTTCTTCAGAAAGAATAAGAGTTAACAATTTTCCTTACAGATCAAATTTAGTCGGAATGGGAATTATACCACTTCAATTCTTGGATGGTCAAAACGCGGAAACATTAGGACTCTCTGGCAAAGAACAGTTTACAGTCGAAATACCTGAAAATCTAGAACCTGGCATGATTGCTACAATCAAGGTAAGCAACTTGTTTACTTTTTTATGGCCAGCGTATTAAAAAAGTTTTTGCAGGTCAGTGATGGAAAAATTTTCAAAACACAATGCTGTTTTGACACAGATGTTGAAATTGCATATTACAAGAACGGAGGCATTCTCCCTTACGTAATTAGGAAACTTGTCGAGAAACGTGATATGTGATTCATCCATCACAAAAGGAACGTAATTCATTTTGTGGTTGAAACATCCGTTTTCAGTTATATCAGTTCTACACTTGCCAGTTTTATCAATGTGAGATGAAACACTGATATTACGTCAGTTGTCTTTTACTTAAATTAGTTTAGTTAGAAAGCAAAATATCTCGAACCCTGCAAATGATCATTTGTCGTCAAACCTCTTTACTAATGGACTTCGACTAGTGGCATACTACAGGACTAGGGGGTCTATCATCTCTTTCTTTATACTTTTGAAATTGTACTACGATAGTTAGTCAGTCTGTGATTGCAATATATGAAATGGAATTTGGATTTAGATTCTTTATGTTCAATTATTTAAAATAATATAACTTTGAAAAATTATATAAAACATAATACAAGGATCACAATACAACAATAAGCAGTAACAACATGTGGTATATCCAAGTTCCTCACATGTGTACTGTGTAAAAACAATGTATAGTTTGAAGAAAAGCGTAAGAGACTACTTATCCTGACGAGGTAAGTAAGCAAAGCATTATCAATAACGCAGAAATAGTATGCTGAGACTGAATGTATTCTTCCTGGGATTTTCGGATTTAAAGTTTGATAAGTAGGAGATAAATGATCATGTATATTTCACAACAGAGTTAAACAATACTGGTAGCAAATTCAACTGAATCTACAATGCGACTACCGTGTGCGTTGTTACGAGTATTATCTGCTGATTCATTACTGGATGTCAGACTATGATTGGCTGAATCATCTTGACGTGGACCGCTAGTGCAGCCTTTGATCTGGTGTCGTATGGTAGTGTTCCCGGTAGCAACTGTAGGCCGAAGTGGTTTTCGTTGCTGCTGAGCTTTCAATGTACGATCTCGGTCATCTCCTTCTAAATGTGGCGCCCCGTATTCATCGCCTAAATTACCATATAAACTACAGGTAGCAGTCGCACCACTTCGCATAAATTGCCCACTACTGTAAACATTTTGCGGATTTGGTGATCCAGGTGTGGGTAATCGTTGGGATGAGTAATTGCACATACTGCCTTGACTAGTTAATGTAGATGAAGGTGTGAAGCACTGCTCTTGGTGACTCGAACTAGCTACTGAAGTCTGCAAACTCTATATTAAAATAGATGTCTTATATTCCATAAATGATAAAATGTCTATTCACAATCATGGAAATGTTGAAAATAAGCGGCCAAGGCATTCATTCTCATCTTATTCTTTTCATGTCAGAAGTTTTAAGGGTAGAGAGGATAGCTTTATACCAGATTATATGTAATTAATGAATGAGATTAATCCCTCAAATCATTAGCAGCAGATAGCAACAAAAACATGCCTTTAAAGTTCTGTACGTATCATCTATTACCAAAATGAACAATAATTAGTTACATATGTCTATCAGGAGTTCATTTATTCAATCAAATGGAAGCCTTAAACAATGCAAGATAAGATGTTAGTTACTTTCAACAGCTGAAAAACTCGGGCTGATAGGCGCAAAAGTATAGTTTTAAATACAAAAGCATTAGTATAACGATGAAGTTAATAACTAATGAACATCAAATAGTGCTGGTATTAACATTCAAAGGAATTTGTAAAGAAAGCCATACTTAGTGGCTTTTTGAATAATGCATCGAACAATGAAATAATGAATGGATGCTTTTATGGCTCTTCTGTGATTGCTTTTGGGCGCATGCACATATTTTGAAAATATTTCATGTCTATTATGAAAGCTGTAAAAGTTTTTGATATTTAGTTGAAGATGACGTAATGGAAATCATAAGAGAATGTAAGAGCCTAATGAATCTTCTAACAATCATATCAAGCCATAAGAGAACTAATTACGGAAGAAAATGGTTTACCTTGTCACAGGATGAAGAGTTTGGCCAATCGTTCGGTTGTGAAGCATGTCGCTGTTGCGACCAGCTGCTATAAATTGATCCAGTGATTGAGCCTGGCTGTTGTTGTATACTATTCATCTTACGGGAATCTATACTGGGTGCGGTGCTATTAAACGATGACAATTTTAGATGGGAAGTTCTCTGATAAGGTGACTGTTCTCTGCAAAAACTCATGTTACATGTGATATAAAAATGCTGAACAAGCACAATCTGCTTATTTTTCAAAGTTCCCAAGAAGCTGTACTACTTGCTTTGCATATAGCCGGTGATTAATAAAACAAAAATGATCAACCTGTTAGCACCAGCTGCACGCATAGCTAAACGGTTCTCAGCACCTGGACTGTTGCGTACAGTAAGCATCGAGGAAGCTGATCCATTTTCTGATACTATATTCTGCAATATACTAATCTGATACTATAATATGAAGCTAAATTATCAGAAAAAATTTTCCTAATTCAATGTCTCAGGTGTAAAGACAGAGCAAAAGCACAGAAGAGAACCTGCTGTGCTCTACTGTAAACAGCTCCTACGTTACGATTAGCTTGCGCCGCCTGCGCAGCTTCAACAGCAGCCTGCTGCATTAGTTGCTGATTCTGAAGAGCACGAGTCTATAAAAGTATGTAAAATAATGCTTAAAGTATTTTGATCAGTATTAAAATACTGATGAAAAAGAATCATTCAATGTTTACAGCTGATAAATTCTATCACTAACCAGAATCACAGTAACAAACGAAAAATTCATAGTGAACCTGAGGTCGACCAAAAGTAGCATATGTTCCATATGCATGGGTTCCTGTTCCAAATCCATTATTCACTGATCCATCATCTTTGGAGCCCCGTCTTTGGTTCAAATTCGTTCCTAGTTGCCCAGTACGGCTTTTGTGGATTGAAGCATACGCTTCTGGTTGCTTAAAACTATTTTGTTAATGATTAGCAATATTTCAATTTTGACATTCCATTTTGCAAAAATTCCTAAATAAGTCTATTTTGATGGATTTTGTGTTTTTTTCCACTGCTTTAAATGTGTTCATCAGAATAAACTGTTATGCTTGAGAACTCGATTTTTTTTTCGAATGGGTCCGTTTGCTCAAAAATGCTTAACTGTTAAAGATGTGCCGTCAGAAGTTACTCCATTAGAAGGATTTCCTGGATTTTGTAATGACGGTCTTCGATTTTGTGGCAACTGTCGATTGCTATTTGATGGATATTCTAATCCTTGGTTTCGCTGAAAAAAGGTGTGTAATATTTGATGGTTTTGTTCATAACAGTGAAAAAATTGTGGAAAAAAATTTCTTCGATAGACTACATTCTCTTAGAAAATTGCTCAACTAAAAAAACTAAAAAGATTATGTTGAAACAATCGGTAAATTTATTACAATTTTTCTGCAAGACGTTTCAGACCTGTAATGTTCCAAATGTACTTCCTGCAGTAGTGATATCTGCTGAAACTTTAGCTTCAGTAGAATATTTGGGAGCATTCATGACAATTCTCTGTTGTGATGAATGTGAGATCTGAGGCTGTATGGTACGAGCGATCTATATATTATTCTTAATCTATATATTATAAGCAATCTTCATATATATATATA